AATCCTTTTTTTTATTAAAATTTTTTTACCAAACGGGTAAAATCCCCCCCCCCCCCCCCCCCATCATACAAGCCCCCCCTAAAAATTTTGAACGCTTGGACAGTTTAGAAGCCCCGGAGGCTTCTATTATGGGGGGGGTTTACATTATACTTTGCTGTGAAATAAAAATGTGAGATTCATGCTAAAGAATTTGGCGATCAAAAAAATTGATATCCAAAATTTTAACGTTTTTTTCTCATCTTAAAAGTCAATAAAGTTTTGATATAAAAAAAAGTACGAGTTTATTTATAATGTCGTTGTTTTCCTCTCATTTTTCTTGACTGTTTTCAGCCGCTACTTCTTCTTATTCTTGATATTAACAAAAAAGTGACGTCGCTTATTCTCGTCGTCAATAAACGAACGTTTTCTACATCTTCTTACTCTTGAAAATTTATTCTTCAAAATACCCTAATACAGCAATATGTTAAATCTGTATAAAAAACAAAGTATATGAAATTTTAAGAAAATATATAAAAACATTTAACAAGACAAAGAAAGGAAAACCGCTCTAAAACGAACAGTATATACAGTAAATAAAAAATTATCACAGATATAAACGATCAACTTTTTTTTTAATGAGGATATCTAATTTATTTTCTGATTGATGAATAACGATTTTGAATTCGATTTTTAACAGCGTTCAACATTTGTTGACTATAATGATCTTTTTGTGTTGTTGGTAAATTGTCCCATTCATGTGATTGTAACGTACGACCAAATACCTTAAAAAGAAATAATTTTGAATTAAATATAAAAGAAGGGGGGATCCTATCTACTATATATCTACCTGTTTTTCAGCCATTTTTAAATCGAGTTTATGTACACGAACATCTGATTTTGTTTGCTCATTTAAAGCAACATTGTTTGTGCCTTCACTATGCGCAACTAGAACAGAAACAAGAACGAATAAAATCAATTACGTTTTGTGTTTTTCGATAGTTTTAGTTTAGAATACTATAATGGAATATTTTCCGCTTGTATTCTGACAGAATAAAGCTTATATCAATTACGTAGCATAAAAGACGTACCTTTGTTAAAAGTTTGAGCAACTTTTTGTAATAAATCATGCATAGGCTCAATTTTAGATGGAGCCCGTGGAGTTTCATGTACATATGGGACGACAGACTATAAATAATAAATATTAGACCTACTATATCAACGTTTATTACACTTTACTGGTGGTTTTGAATTGACAATATATCTTTCTACAGGATATTGAGGAGTTGCGATTCGTTCTATATATTTTGTTTGAGGCATCATTCTCATTTGATCAACTTCACGTTGTAATTGATCAATTTTAGATTGCATCAAACGTTCGCCTTCAACACGTTTAGCCATTTCCTGTGGCACTCATGAAAAAATGTATTAAGATGAACATAAATCGAACAACTTTTCTTACCTCTCGAAGGCGTTTTTCAAGTAAAAGTGCACTAAGAAAAAAAATATAAATAAGATATGAATTATCTCAAGCATTCTATTACTGTTCATTTTTATCACGATTATTCAGTCGTTGTTCTGGTCGATTATCAATATGAGGAACACGATCTCGACTAAATTCTGTCCATCCAATGTGACGTCCTTCTGTTGGATCAATTACCGGACCAAAGTCAGATTTTGCTATTCTTTCTTTAAATCCATTTAGAAAAAATCGAACAATAACACTTTGTAATTGTCTTGTGACAATTATATTTGTCTTCTTTTGTAAAACAGTTTCCAAATCAGATGTCTAAAATGATTTAGATAAAAAATCAATATCGTATGAAAGATAGTAGAGACTATAAAAAATTACCAATTTGCATTGTAAAATAAAATCTCTTAATGTTATTATCATTGCAGCGGCAATTGCTGGTATTAATTCATCATGAAAATTTGGTAAGTCACTCGTAATAATATATTGATCCCACACATACATTAGAGGATCCACGTTGAGACAGCCTGTAAGTATAAAGTTCAGTACAGAATTTTCTACTAAATCTAGATTAATTCTCATATACCAACAAAGAGAAATTTAAACCATGGATAACAACATTTTTTCAACAATAGTGCAATATATGGATCATCAGAATTCGCCATTTGTGCGCCTAAATAAATAATAACATCGTATTTATTATCTGAGTAATATAAGATAGATAGAATAACTATATACCTTGTGGATATAAAACCATTCGAAGATGATTGTACACTGGTCGATCAATTTCTTTTAGATGAAATTCAACTTTTCGAAACCATGGCTCCAAATCCTGTGTGGTTGACTAAACAGAGTTAAACATATGATTAATCAATTAATATGTGTACATGCTCAAAATTAAAATATCTTTACATTCAAATGACTTTGAATTAATGGTGGCGGTAGAATATCCAAAAATGTCAGATACATTTCAATTAAAATAGAAAGTGATTTTTCATACGGTTTCTCATTTCTAAAAAAAAATTAAAATAGTTATCATTAACAGGTTGAAAACATCGTCGAATGTAGGTCATGTGGATCAAAACAAATGTATTGTTGAGTGAGTGCATTACCAATGTGATGTGGAGAAATCTAATCGATAAGCAACATTGAATATTTATCTAGGAAACATGAATAAAAAAATCTTTTGTACATCGTACATATCACGTGTTAAAACTATGCTCTGTGATCACATCAAAACTCAGTATGTACGTGCAAATTAGGTAAGGGCAAACAATTTGTCTCTACCTACTATTACTGATATCAAAATCAGTACCTCTAAAAACAAATGTTTAGTATTCTTTTTAAGACCGCCTCTATTAAAATGATAAAAAACACGTTTACTTGAGAACTCTTACCTAGGCAGCGGTGGATTGTGCGATAAAACGATTGGAAGTGTGTAATAATATTCCGATTCAGCCAAATCACGCTTGTTTCCCAGTGAAGAATGATGATAAGACAGAATAGCTTTCATAGAACTCATATTTCCTAAATTTTGCAAAAAAGAACCGTAAAACAAGAAATTGTCCTACTCAATACAGTGCTGACCTTTCACTGATATTTACTTACTCATTATCACAATACAAACTGATAATACTAAGTAAAAAATGTGTAACTAACCGCGAGAATCAGCCATCGATGGGCCAGCTGGTAAAGTAGCCATGAATGCATCACAATTACGTTGAATTTCAGCATCCATCGGGGATAAAATACTTCTTGGATTAGTCGATAAATCTTTCAAAAATTTATTTCTGTCTAAAACATGATATGAACATTAACTGAAAACATTTAAGGAATAAGAAATTCTCCTACGATTATGATTTGATAAAAATACATTCCAGCCAACAAAACGAATCGGTTGAGGTAATGGTTGATTAAGAAATGCATGTAGTTTATATTTTTGATCCGGCCATTTTCGTAATAAACTAACGATTCCATCACAAATTTTTGCTAATAATAAATCCGTCTTCGTTTCTAATGGATCTTCTTTCAATAGCTGTCTTGAAACGTCACTATTGATACCTTTATCAAGTAAATCAGATATCTTTTTGTTTAGATTATCGTATGGATTTGCTGAAAAAGAAACAAATAGTATTCTGTAAAAATGTAAACGTTCATAAGCCTTATGCTTACATCCTCCCACTGATTTTAGCGATCTGGCAGCACGCTCAAGAACAAGACTTTTCTCAGGATCGCTCAAATCTGTAAAATATTGGACGTGACTTTGTGCGAGATGTTGATCAACAGCATCATAAATATTAGTCGTTACATCATTCCATTCCTGCAAAAAAAAAACGAACATATACTAAATTTTTTTTGAAAGATCTATATTAAAATAGATTTACGTTCGTGTGCAAAACATGCTCTCTTGCATCAATTAGCCAGGTTGGAAGATTGGACATGATCTAAAATGCGAAAACATACACATAATTACATATCGAGAAGATCTAGTCATAGGTTAAACGCTTGGATTATCTTACTTTTACATTTGTGAGACAATTGCAGCAGAATTCAGTGAAGTGTTTAAAATTGTGTTGCAGAGAGAACGAATACTTTCAAAAAAGGCAAAAATTGAAGTTAAGACCAACATATCAATAGGAACATATGTTTTAAGCAGAATAAAGATCATAGTCACATTCCTCATAAAAACCATTTCAAGATAGATTTCTTAAAAACTATTCCCGGTAAGAGCTTCGTGTTAGGTCTTTCTCAAGAAAACAGTAATTGTTTAGTCAAAAGTTACGTAGTTAAGCTTTTCCCCTCTGAAACTTAACTAGCACATATGCATATGTATTGTTTTATGAAATGTACGACTAATTATAATCTCTGTTCTACTTAAAAGTTGAATTTGAATTTTGATATCTCGGTGTAAACTAATTTATACACGAAAAGTGGAAGTCATGAAAATTTTGCGATCGATGATTCAAGCCAAATAGTAGACAGCGAAAGCGGGTAACAATAAATAGGCAAGAAAAACTAGACGGAACGGTTAGTACCTAGTAATACATACGAAATAATTCCCTGTTTTAAATTTTAAAGAGAACAGAGAAATATTTTCTGTTTGATTTTCAACTGATTATATCATTTAAATACTAGATTCATGATAGGTTACTGCATGAAACCCCTTCCATCAAGCATAAACCAGTTTTCTATATTAAACTGGTATGATAAGAGAGACATCAATTATTCTACACACGTATTGTTGCTTAGATACGACCACGTCAACTGTACGTCGAATCTTTCGCCATCTATAAATTCAATACCTATTATCTTTTTCATCCTCACAGTAAAATACATGTAGATTCTCTTTAACTCTAAGAATTCAACAAGAGAACAAGTATTCGTCTGCAATCAATTCAATTAAGCGACTAGTGTCAATGTGAAATCGCAATGCACTTAATACTGATTAATTGCGCATAGTATATCCGAACCATAAAAAATTAAATAAAAACTAAAGCTAGAAGAAGCAAAATAATTATTGATAACTTGATTAATATTACAAGTACAGTTTATGCAGATCAAATTTTGTTTGTATGTAATTTGACCATTCCATTGTGGTTCGGGCCCTAGTCGAGACTCCTGATTAATCTCCCGCAGGAGTCCTGGAAAAAAAGTCCTACAGGAGTCAGCAGGAGTCCTGTCACGAGATCCCGGCAGGATCCTCTGTGGAGTCATGGAGGATTTTTAAGGGATTCCTCAAGACTCCCACAGGAGTTCTATGGGATTCTTAAGGAAGTTCCTGGGGAGTTCTCGGGGATTTTCAAGAGAGTCCTTGGGGACTCCCTCTGGGTCTATTGATGCATCTTCTTAATTTCATGTAATTAATTAGTAATTAAGTGCCAGATACTATCACTGGTACCGCTGGAGCACATATCACCCATCGAAGGTTGACACATTAATGTTGACTTACTAGAAGAAAATTTTTAAAATTTTATCATAGAACTACATTATATTTATATATTGCCTATCTGCAAAACAAACGGTGAATGGGGAGTTGGCAGGGACTCCTCGGGGATTGCACAGGAGTTCTGTAGGAGTCCATGCATGACTTCCACCAACAGGACTCCTGCAGGAATTTTTTTGAATTCCTCATGGCCCCATGCATGACTTTCTCCAACAGAACTCTCGACAGGACTCCTGCAAGAATTTTTTTGGGACTCCTCATGACTCCGTGTTGGACTTTTCACTCTAGGAAGCTCCTGCGAGAGTCATCAGGACTCCTCACGATTCCTGCTGGAGTTTTTCATAAACTTGGGACTCCCGTTGGAGTTTTGCCGGGAGTCTCGACTAGGGGGTTCCCGAAAGTGTGTATGAGGTTTCAGGGCTGCCACCTTAAAAGTCCGAATAGTGGAAAAAAACGGAAAATATTTTTTTCGCTTTTGGACGCCTTTGTAAAGGAAACACCTATTAGACGCAGTAAAAATGTATTTCCAATCAGTAGAATCAGGATGGGTACGAATCAGGGTTGCCAGATCTCCTGATGTGACCAGGAGACTCCGAATTTTTAGACTTTCTCCTCATAAAAATTCTTCTGATTTCAGGAGCTGATTTTTAATTTTCTCCTGATTTCTCCTAATTTTCAGTTGTTTTCCTGCATCGATTTTGGCTACATTTTTGACCAACAAAAAAGCGGAGAAGAAAAAGAGAGTTATCGCAGTGCTGCCGCGGCTTGTTTTTTCTAAAACTGAGATTACCAGTTTCAGAAACAGAATTTCTATATCAAGAGTCTAGTTAATTGTACATTGAAAGAGTCCGCTAGGTACTTATCGAATGTTCTCATCACAAGAAGACGAGATTAGTGAATTTTCAAACCCCTCGGAGCAAAATCTTCTTCCTCAATCCGTACTGCAGTCTGTAACAAATAATAATACTGTTTCATCAAAACTTATTTCAAAATCGAGAACCGCTTTATCGTTGGATACCACAACAACTAAACGTTATGGGCCAAAATTTAAAAAAGGATGATTATCCAATGCAACATATTCTTCATTTTTGAAAGAAGGTAAACATGATCAAACAAAAGCATTGTGTTCTACTTGTAATGTACCATTTTCAATTGAAAACAGTGAAATTGGTGATTCTAATAGTCATATGGGAACAAAAAGCAAAAATACCACGGATGGTGTAGCAAACAGTGTTTGTTCTCCATATTTTCTCCTTATTTTGGTTCTTGTCGGTTTCTTAAAAAATATTTGTGTCTGTTTTGTTAGACTGTTAAATGAATAGCTGGGAAAATAACAACAGAATAAACTAACTTACATGTGGTTATCTTTCTCTCTTTTTCTTTGTTTCGCTTGACAGATCTTCTCATTACTTGTTTGGTAGAAAAAAGTCACCAGCGTTTGTTGGAATGCAAATTTTGCTTGTCCAAGAAAAAACTGCCTGATACTACTCTCCTGATTTTTTAGAAAAAATCTCCTAATCAACTGCTGATTTTTTACGAAAAACTTCTGATTTCGAAAAATTGGATTTGCCCCTCCTGGTAAGAATTCACCTTATACTAGGTTGCGAGAAATGTTTTGCCCGGGGGGTATAGCTCCAATGACAGATGATATCAATATTGAATTTTATACCAAATGAAAGCTCGTGAAAAATGGGGTTAACAGGTATAGTTGGTAATGTGATCGATAGTCATTGACTATAGGTTTATTGAAAATTTTAGGATAGGGAAGGAAACACGACTGAGAAAACTTTTTTTCAGAAGATATTATTTGAAATTTATTTGGCTTTAAACTGATAGATTTATTAGTTTAATGTTTATTCTTTTTGAAGTTCATTAGCATAATCAATAATCTGTATGACCACCGTTCGCTTTTTTCACAGCACGTAATCTTGAGGGGTATGAACATAAAAGGTTTTCAAAAAGTTCTGTGTCTGTTTCCATGTTTTGCAAAACATCGATGATATGATTTTTCAATGTTTCTTCGCTATACCGATCACTTCCAGTCTCTGACAGCATTCTTTTCTCAACTTCATCTTTGATTATTGTTCTAATGTGTTCAGCTACGTTTAGATCAGGTGAATTTCCGGGCCAAATATTGTTACCCCAAAACTTGATATTGTTGTCTTTTATCAATTGTTGAGTCATACTTGCTTTCATACACGGTGCTTTATCGTGAGCAAATATGACTTCATCCACGTCAATCACGTTTTCTTCATTTTTCAAGAAAGGAAACACGCGTTGAACTAAAACTGTGTCACGAAAATATTGACCGGTCCAGGATTCGCCTTTATCTCGCCTTTATCTAGAAATCCACTTCGTTCTATATAGGTGACAATAGTCTATCGGATTATTAACTGTACCTGTTAACCTCATTTTTCACGAGCTTTCATTTGGTATAAAATTCAATATTGATATCATTTGTCATTGGAGCTATACCCCCCGGGCAAAACATTTCTCGCAACCCTGTAGATGCACTACTCAGATCGACAAATCTTGAAATAAGATCTCATATGATTATGTGCATGATCGTGTTCTACAAATTCCCTCTAGACTCTCTTAAAAAAGTATCTTTCTCTATTCCTAATATTTTCTAGCATAGGTAGGACACTGATGCGCTTAGGATCGTGTCTAACCATGCTCCTTATAATCATGCGCTTTGTTTGCCCTCAGCTGATGTGTGAAGTTGGAGAAAATAAAAAAATTCTGACTTTTGTCATAAGAATGATGATGTATATATACTATATATATCACAGCAAAAATTGTGTTAAAAATAAGCCATCTCTTCTTGCAAGGTCTTGTAACAAGAAATGATATGATCTTGCGATAAGAAATAAATATAAGTCAAGCGTCTCAATGACAAAATTTTACAAGATCTTGCAAGATCATGCAATGGGATCTTGTTACAAGATCTCATAAGAAAACGACAGATCTTGTAAGATGAATTTCACCTGGGCAATAGAAGATAAAATTTATAAAAAGGGATTCTATTCAATCAAAAAAGGAATATGGAAAAAAGAAAGCGGACCTTTTGGTAACCATATTGAGAATAGATATGGTGATCATGCAAAACTAGCAGAAACATTCTGACTTGTCATAGTTTTATAAAAATTACTTGTTTTCAGCGTATTTTCTCTCACTGACATATACTACCAAAACCCATTCATTAGTACAATTATTTTGAGTATGTAAGAAAGACTTGTATATCGTTGTTCCGTTTCATATAACGAATATTATAGGGATTCTTATGGAAGATATATGATTTTGTTATTTTAACGCTTAAAAAGTTTGGATAAAATTTATGGTTTTGAGAGACTTTTGCAGAATTTCTTCTAGTAGTTTGATAAAAAATGATGTTGTCAAGTTTATAAGCCAATTAGACAGTGTGTTTATGGATTATGAGTCGATGTCAGCCGAGTTCAAACATGGCATCAAGAAAGTATTTTTATGAATTTATAGAGCTAACAGCAATACATGTTTACATCTGTGATATAAACACCAAATTAAAAAGTTCGTTTTTCTAGGTTGTTTTTTTGGTATAATCTCTATTTAAAACTTATAAACAGATAAAAAACGTAAGCGAGGCCAATAGTGACACAACTTTTGAAAAAGTAGAAACGAAGAAACAAAGAAGAGAAGAGCGAAAGAAGTAAATGGTTAGGGACTGGTATACATCCAGGGATTTTACCGATACTACAAAAGAGAGTAACGCACTTGTGACGAGTAACGAATCAACTAAAGCGATGACTATCTTGAATGAATGTCGACCTGGAGAACTATTGGAACTTGTATTATACTTATTTATAGGCGTGAGTTTGAGATGATTACCCAAATAACTGGGTGTGAGACCACTTACAATGCGACGAAACACGTCATTCGTGTTTTTTGGAAGTGGTCATGCAGCTATATTAGGTGCAAGTTATTCGAAATTTTTACTTACAATGAAGGGTGCATAGCCTCAAAGACCACTAACGCAGCTTCATTTTGAACTCTAACCAGTTTATCAATGTTGTAATCTAGTGTCAAAGACAATAGGGTTGAAACATAATTTAGAGCAGATATGAAAAATGCGTTAAAAACAGTATTTAGCGTAGTATTCTTTCGCTTTGCGCATAACTTATCTATGTGACTTGTCCAAGACACATTTTATGAAAATTTTATGTTATTTTGATAATTTTCAATAAAATGCAATCGACGATATACATATGCCTCTTATCTACAAAATCCATGTGTCAAAAAGTTTAGCTAACTTTCGACATTCATGTGCTGTATTTTGACGTTAATGCTAAGCTGCTTTTTATCAGTTGAAAAAAGTGTAGTTGCTATTCCGATATCCTACTTTAAAAGAATCATCACGAATTATAACGAATTCGAATCCATTTTTATGCACTTTAAGAAAACTTTTAAAAGAAAAGCAGATGTACAAAAAAAATTTAATTGAATATAAAATAAGTAAGATAAAAAATAAATACCAGATGTCGAAAATCAAAATCGTGTACCAAAGAAGAATATTTTCGTATTGCACTAGATTATGGATAATGTTCAAGTTATCTGTTGTTAGGAGACGATCTCATCAGATGTTGTTGTCTGTAAAGTTTCACATTATCCAGTAAAAGAAAAAAGAAGCAACTGTTTCCTTCTCTCTCTAATTCACCGGTATTTGTCAATAAGAAAAAGCGCATGTCCGAAAAAGATTTTGCAGCTAGATTTTTAATCCTTTTAGCTAGTAGCAAGCTAGTTAAATGGGTAAAAAATCTAGTTGCAGCTTAGATGCAAAATTTGTTTTTTGTTTGGAGAGTGGAAAAGTGAGAAAAGTGAGACTGGAAAAGCATATCGGCTAATAATTTAACAGAAATTTTTTTTCACTTAAATATTCGATTGACGCTCGAAATGTTGTTACAGCATAATCAACATCTTGAGGTAATGGTAAAAATTTGAACGTAATTGTATAGTATTCATGCGCTACAATATTTTTCATATCTGATTGTGTTAATAGATCAATAAATGATGTTAATGTATCATCCGCTGCAATGGGTTGTTGTGGTTGATTTTTTGTATATTTAACTGTTACACCATTTTCAGTCGACTGCTGCTGCTGTTGTTGTTGTTGTATCATTGTTGCTAATAGTAAGTCTAATGTTGATCGAATACATGCTGCTTTTTCAAATGATGATTTAAGATAGTCTAGTTTTTTAAGTTCTGCTAATACTGGTGTATAATTATCGCCAGTCGTTGCTTCTGCTGTTGATGAACGAATAGCAGTTTTACATTGATATTTTAAAATTTCTTGAGATAACCGATCATCTTTCATTTCTGTATATGTTATTACAGCTGGCCAATTTTTTGTGTACACATTTCCGGTTATAAATATCTCACTTGCTAATTCAATATCTTGTCGTGTTGTTAATTGTACATACGGTGATTTTCTGAATGTTGCTGATGAGTCAATATTCAATATCTGACAAGCTTCATTAACGAAATTTATCCATAAATGATTTAGTTTATTAACAGCATCATCGATAAAATTTGGTAAGATAACATATGTTTCGATAAATAGAAGTAAACTTGTTCGTAATTTTGTAAACAAATCTTCAATAGGACGTAGAGCATCTAAGAAGATAAATGCTGTTTCATAACTAGCTGTTGTTAGATGAAATGTATATTTCGATTTTGATGTTATTGGTGATGTTAATGTCGAGGTAGAATTTAATGGTCGATCAATAATTAATATGATATATGAACGCTGTGTTGAACTATCAAAAACATTTTCTTGATCTAATATTTTAATTAATTTATCTGTCGTTGGCTTATAAATATGAATTGTACGATTATCTTCAACTGATATTTCATATTTTAGATTTAAACTAATATGTTTTCCTTTGAATAATGGTGATGAGCGAAATAAATGTGATTCAACGAATTCTCTATTATAATCATACTTTGTTACATTTGATGATGGAACGAGAACTAATGAACAAATGTTTTGAGCTTTCAAGTATAAATCAATAAAATCATTAATTAACCAATTATAAAATAGACAGTGCTCTAATTCAGGTACATCCATATTGTTCAAGGTGTCATTAAGTGTGTATTAACATAATAATTATTATGTCAAATGTAGATTATATCGATTATTTCTTCTGTTTGACAAAGGAAAGAAAAAAGCATGGATGCATCTAAAACGAAAGATGAGAACTATACACCTATTTGGAATCATTCGTTAAGTACGTTGAATTTTTGTAACTATCTATTTACTTAAAATAAAGCGATGTTTTTCTACATTCTTTCCATTTATCAGCATCGACATATCTAAAGTGCGGTGTTTTAGAATATTGAAACGATCCTCTCTTTTGCTTTTTTCAACTTCTTTATTGTTTTATCAATTTTCCTACAGATGTCGTAGTCTCTAATGTTTATTGCGTGAGATAATAAATATATGTAAGATAAGTAAAATCAACACATCGACGAAGTCAGAGTGTGACGAGGATGCGGTTTCATGCACTGTGAAAAGCTTTTTGGACGGCGCCAGCACAGTACAATACTTAATCTGAAAAAGTTTTCCTATTTTTAGTGAATACGCACCGCACCTAACGCAAAAATATTTTTGATCCGATAGTAGATAAAAAGTTATTTCTTGGAATCATATAAACAGCATTCAACAGTCTTGTAGATGCTAAGAAAAACTTTTCTCTGATGTAACTGAGATTATATTATCTGTGAGCTTAGAAACAGATGAAAGATTGCAAAACATGGACCAGATGTGCCCGTAAATAATTAGCGAAAATTACTCAATACTTGAATCCATCGCAATACTCAAGTTTTGTGAAAATTTTCAGGGCTTTCCTGAAAAATGAAGTTTTAAATTTAAAGAGATTTTGGGGACAAAATGGCTGTTTTTGCCGTCTCAGGGAACGTTAATAAGTTTTTTATCGTGTATTACTATTTGGACAACTGATGCTCTGCCCGTATAGCTAACAGTCTTTCGTTTCGCATCTCACGTGATGAACATTCAATATAATATAATATTTAATGTTAACTACTTTAATTCTGTTATGTATCAAACGTATGATGTTTGGTACGTGTACTGATAAAAAATGTGGTTATTTTGGATGGTCTTTCATTTCTTTGAAAGCACAGATTTATTGGATTAGAATTTCATATATAAACAAGAATTATATTAGTATCTGTTTCTCGTATCCATAATTTGACAACATAGCTTCACAAAAGTAGAATAAGAGATATAGTTCTTATTTATGTATGAAATTTTCATTCAATAAATATGTGTTTCCAAAAAATTGAAAAAGTGTACAAAATAAATATATTTTTCATCAGATCACGTATTACAACAATCATCTTCACTATTTCTTGCTGTTTTCCAGCGATATAACCTACTTTTTATTTCTAACTATATAATAATAAACAATACGATTACTGGCGTGTTTATATACATGATATGAGGAGAGACTGATTTTTACGATATACTTTTTTTCTCACATTTTAGTACATTAATTTAATGCGAGATTCACGCACGTCTTCATCAACCGAAAAAAGATAACGTTATCGATTCAAGTAAGATCACAAAGTATATTTACCTTCGTTTTGTTCTATAATATTCCAAGACAGTCACCTACTTAGAAATGGTATCTTACTAAAAAGTTACTCACTTATGCATTACTACTTATTTAGATATCACATGGTTTCAGGCATCATTTGGAACCTGCTCAAATGAAAAAAACTTGAGCTCTTTTATCCTTTTTTATTTCATGTTTTCGAATCTAATAAGAAGATTCTGTGAAAAGACTGACAGTTGATTTTTCTGTTTTAGAAAACTGATGGATATAACTACTATTTCAAACTCTACATCAGTCAATCGTAATTTACCTGCCAAAGTAAATGAAGAAACTATATCAATTTCACCATCTCAGAATGAAACATTTAATCAACATTACCGACATTCTATTAGCTGGGACTTTAATCGATGGGTAAACTCACATAAATACAGTCCTTTGAAACACTAAAGCTATTTAATTATGTTTTATTATGTAGGGAACAGTGAAACGACTGACTCTTGCACCAGACTCTCCGCCATGCGAAGCAATTCCAGTCTTTTCTATACAACCCGTACCGCTTCCAACAAAAAAAAATAGATTTTTATCCTTTCTTTTTTGTCGAAATGCTAAGCAAAGTAATGAACATAAACTTTTGGGAGAGTGGCAAAGTACATCAATAGCAGGTAATGATATTACATCATCATGTTTATATACAGCGGGAATATGTGCACAAAAAGCTGGCAAATACTCACCAATTTCACTTGCAATCGTTGCTTTCGTTCTTTATCTTTTTCGAAATATTTATGCTGAAGTCGGCACGGCATTACCACTAAATGGTGGTGCCTATAATGTTTTATTAAATTGCACAACAAAATTAATTGCGTCGGTTGCCGCCTGTCTCACTTTAGTGTCATATATCGCCACTGCAGTTGTATCGGGTAGTAGTGCCATTGCCTACGGGCAGCATTTATGGGCAGGAATGAATCCGGATTGGGCTGTTATTGTGCTACTTGGCTTTTTTGCATTTTTAACGTTGATGGGATTAAAGGAATCAGCAAATGTTGCTCTCTTCATTTTCATTGTTCATATCGGAACGATGATATTATTAGTTATTATGTGTATCATTAAAATTATTGAAACTGGCAATGTTGATCGATTAAAAGAAAACTGGAAGCAACATCAGAGTGGAAATGTGGCATCCAATATCTATTTTGGCTTCTCTTTAGCACTCCTGGGTGTTTCTGGATTTGAAACATCTGCCAATTACATTGAAGAACAGCAAGCTGGTGTTTTTCCAAAAACTCTAAGAAATATGTGGTTATTTGTATCATTTTTTAATCCTGTTATTTCATTGTTATCGTTATTTATCATGAAACTTGTGGAAATTGAAGCACATAGAGATGATTTATTAGCAGCTTTGGCAACAGCGAGTTCTGGAGATTGGTTAAATAAATTTGTCGCAGCTGATGCATTACTTGTGCTCTCGGGAGCGGTGCTAACATCGTATGTAGGAATCGTTGGTCTTATAAGACGTATGAGTTTAGATCGGTGTTTGCCAATGTTTCTCACACAAGAAAATCGATGGCGAAAAACAAATCATTATATTATACTAGGATTTTTTGGTGTCACATCGTTATTACATTTTATCGTTAAAGGAAACATTGATTCATTAGCAGGTGTCTATACAATCGCTTTTCTTAGCGTTATGTGTTTATTTGCAATCGGCAATATGATAATGAAATATAAACGAGGAGCACTTCGTCGATCGGTGGTGGCGAGTTGGCCTCGTGTTGTTTTTGGACTTTGCGCTGTTTTCGCTGGTCTAGTTGGAGAAATTTTACTTCATCTTGAACATGTAAAATATTTTTTACTTTATTTCGTTGCTACTTTCCTAATCGTAATGATTATGTTTGCACGTAATCGTGTATTAAAATTAATTATTTATTTCACATCGCGAATAGGTTTATTAACTCGTTTCAACGCAATATTATATCGACAATATAAAAATATAGAAAATCAACCTATGATATTTTTTACTAAAGTGGATGATCCATCTATTTTGAACAAAGGAATTTTGTATGTTCGATCAAATGAACTTACGCATTGTTTACAAATTATTCACCTTTACAAAAATGAAGAAGAAATACCAACAAATTTAATCGATAACGTCAAGTTTCTTGATAAACAATATCCGAAACTATGCGTCGATTTAGTAAGTAGTAAAGAAGGACGGTCGATAAGCCGTAAAATCGGCTCCTACTCAGATAATTATTTTATACTGGGATTTGATGTTCTTTCTCTCCGGCTTTAAAATTGATACATTTCTAGGCCTTAAAAAACCGCTTTCTGATTCTCCTTTACAAAATATTCGCACTCAAAGGCTCTCTGTCGCTATATCAACTATGCTTAGAGTATTTTCATTATTGCACTTCTTCTGCTCATGAAAAAAGCTCAGCTGTTATATATCATTCGATAAAGAATTTCACGGGCTACAAAATGCTATATAGACTATTGATAAGAAAATGTAACTGTGTGCGCTAACATTAAAAAAAACAATGTAGCGTCTCCGCAAACCAGTAGGTCAACAAGAAAAAACAGGTCGTGTGTAATAATTTTCAATAGGATTGTATTGTTTTATTTTTATGGTAGCCCGGGGTCTCCTCTACAAAACGGGAGTCAAGTGAGATCTTGATTTTCCGCGGCTCGGGTATTATATCGGATTCCCTACAAACCCCAGAACTGGTACCCGGTGACTGTTGGTAGTCTTGAGAGCTGATGGATTGTAGGTAATTGATCATGCTGAGTCTCATGACAATATTTGTTTTTAGAAAAAGTTTTAAAATCTAGCGAACAGCGAGTTTTACGAAAATCAGGGTTTTTAGACTGTTTTCTTGTAAAATTAAAAAAGTTCACCATTCACTCAGAAAACATCACAACGAGTTCAAAACTTCAGAATATAGAGTATTTAGGCTATTCTACATCCTATTCATAGGAGAGTTAGAAAGAGATTTCTCAAAACTCTAAGGTTTTTTGAAGGGATTTCTGGAAAACCCATTAAGAAAACTATGCTTTTTCGATCTTCTAATCATGTTTAACGAATAAAACTGATCATATCCTGAAGTTTTTTTTAAGGTCCAGAAATGTATCAGTTTTAATGCTCGAGAGAAAGAACATCAAATCCCTGTATAGAACAAATTATCTGAGAGGGAGCCGATTTTGCCGCTTATCAACCTCACTTCTTTGTCATTTTTAATGATAGAAAGGAATAGAGAAACAATCTCAGAAGGTATCGACAGTGATTGTCACTAAACAATCTTGATTTCCAAGAGTTAACTTTAAATCCAAATTTTCAACAAACGGTATCGTTTTTCTTATTTTTAAATAATAAGAAGACATATGCAAGTTGTCCATTGATGACATTCATTTTTTCAAAAAATATTCTCTTATGTCGTTGATACTATTCCCACTCTATAAACTACAGAATATTTAAACTTATTTTAGATTCTTATTAAAGGAGAATTTAATCCATTGACCGTTCAGAAGATCAGTGACGAACTGAAGATACCAAGGAACTTTATGTTTATTACATGTCCTGGGGGTACCTTTCCACACAACTTCACCGAGCTTGGTGGTCTTAGATTAATAACGCATTGATACGAATACAGTCAGATTACGTAACTCACAATAAAACCAACATTATTTGAAAATTCCATTATGTTTAATTGTGATTACTTTATAATAATCAAGTGTATAGGTTTTGGGTGTTTTATGCTAATAATGTCAAGCTACTATTTTCGTAAATTCATTAAGCAACTACAAGAGGATAATTTAAATTCTAATCGATTCTATTTGTGACAGTTTATAGATTTCAATATTCCAGACCATAGTGTAGCTCGTTTATCTTTGATGGAGAAAACATTGTTTTTGTTACTAATAGACGCATTTAATTTTGATATGTCAACATCTCCATTATACATACGCTTTCTTTCATACCATTTGATATTCTGTTTTGTTTTCAAGCTTTTAGAAAATTCTACAAAATATTTTTATAATATATATCGTTTTGTTTATAGAAAAACGAACCATTCAATCGATAAAACACACATTATCAGAATAAAAAGAATTTATCAAATTTCAATTTTTTTTATTCACTTTCGAAAAAAAAAATAGTTACAACGGCAAAATAGTTAATAATATCATAATATTTGCCTAAATTTAGCACAAAGCCAAGAGGAATTTGAATCACTGGGGTGAATTATCTGAAAAGCAACAAAATTAACAAAATCCTAGTCTTTTATTAAAATGACAGAATCAATTGCACCAGCACCACTTGCTATACCGCCTTCAATTTTTTCACAAGGTTTTGAACGTAGTAATGATCCACCACATTTACTGTATAATATATTTGAACCTTGACTAAACACAAACGATCAATAACTTTTATAAAACCAGTGATCCCCAAATACCTACCTAATTACAGCACCAAATATTCCTAGCTCACTATTAGTCAAACATTCTTTTAATTCTCCATTTGAACTTCGAATTATATTCGTATATTGTGGAGGTATAATTCGTTTCATTACGAAATAACGTTGGTTTTGTTTTGCTTCCATAATTTCTGATATTCGATCACTAAAAAAATACGGCATTATGATAGTACAATAAAAATTTTGCCGCTCTTACTTTAACAATTTTCCACAATAAACTGATCCACCACCTTCACGATTTTGTTTCAAATAAAATCCTTCAGGATCGACATGAATTTTATTTCTTAAATAATCAGTAGTAGCAGCCTAGAAAAGACAGAAAGGTCATATTTAATATATGAGCGTTGAAGTTCACTAAACAAGCATGACGTTCATTAAGTAGTAGAATGAAAAGCACTAATCACTTCTAGGTAATCGATAATTATCTGTTATATCTTTGTTTAACTTTGTATGCTTTTACCAGTGAATAGTCAAATTATCAAACAGTCTGTTGACTAGAAATACCTGTTCAATTGTAAATGATTCCTCAGTAACCGATCGATAATCATCATAATACGACTGCTGGTCGTGTTCATAAACTTTTTCTAAAAAGTCTGTGAAATTTAATTTCATCTGGAAACATTTCATTCCAGCCAAATGATAACGTATACTGGGAATTTTAATAGAACGAGATGATTCTAAAAGTAGATAAGATTGCCAAATCTAAAATGTCAAAGGCAATCACCGACAATTCAAATATCAGCTGAGTGACACAGTCGGCATATAGGCGGACATTTGGCAAAAAATCGAAAGTCAGCTGTTTTGAGATTTGAATAGAGTCAAAAGTACTTCGTTAAATGCGCTATAGAATGGCGCAAAAAATTTTATTCTACGACTTTTCCTTACGGAAATATTCGATAGAAAAAAAACGGTCATATACGGAAAACGCTAGGAAAAACGATGTTCTCGGTATAATCGAAACGCGCGACTTAGCGGAGGTGTAATCTCACTCATTTTTACGCCAAAATATTTGTCTTGATGCCCTGCATCTATGGTACATGCCAAAATTTTCCTACACAAAGTTACAGGTTTTCCAAAAAACCCTGGTTTTTTAGGTATTTTCCATTTTCCGCAGCCGAGAAACACTTTTATTGCAAATTAACGTGATATTTGGAATCAGTGTGAAAAACTGCATCGAATGATGGATAGTTTGTTAGTTTTACAAATAAAACATTTTTTGACACAAATTCAGGGCAAGGGTAAAGGAATTTTTTGTCGAAAAATATTTTTTTCGAATTCGATCTTTTTTACTTCTACTAATATCTGACACATAATAAAACCATATTATGCTAAAATAATCGTTTTCTAACTCAAAATGACAGATGTCCGCCAACTCTATGGAAAAATGCCCACTGTGAGTGATGAGAGACAAGAATTAACTTACTGTTTCATTTTCAAAATGTCGTGGATCGTATCCATGACGATAATAAACAACTGCCACCTCTAATGTCATACTAAACTAGATAAATAAAATACATAAATAACTATCGTTACTTATTGGCAACTGTTTTAACGTACAAATATAAATTGCCACTTTGATCAATAGAAGCATGTTGATTAATTTCTTTAAATGTCACATGTTTGACAAATATATTTTCATTTAAAGACATTAAACCATTTTCAATTAATATTTGATCACCAATATTAAATTCTCGTGCTGGAATAACAAATAATATAATTGCTCTAGAAGAAAAAAAGAATAAAGATAATTCTACTACTGAACAGAGATGTTTATTTCTCACTAACCGTACATTATCGTAGATTTTCCATGATTCATATATTAAATTAATGATCAAATCGTGTGATTCATTGGATGGTAACTAAATTCAACAAAAACGTGAAGGATCATCGAATTAAATTTCAAATCAATCACTCACGTTAGCAGACAACGTTGGATCAATATCAGATATAAATTGGCTAAAAAGACATTTGAGTTAAAAGTGTCAACGTAAAAAAGAGACAAAAATCCTTCTACTATTTTGTCGTAATGGTCTAGCTATTAATTAAGAGCCTTTAAAAAGGGATAGAATACAATAATTTTTTCTTGTATAACTCGTTCGTACTTATGCCATTGACTCATAAGTTTCGCAGCACCTCCCAGGCCCACAGCAATTGTATTTATTTCGATTAAACGAAGGCGAGTTTTGTGAAAATGTTCTTCATTAACATTCGTTTGTAACATGTAATCTGTTCTAATAATGCATCCTTCAGCAACACTCTAAAGATAAAAACAATATCAGAAATATTTATGTTTCTTATTAAACTTACTTTATAAGGTAAATTTTGTATTTGCTGAGAAATATCTTGTAGTTTACGAACAAAATCATCACAATCAACAAGTCTAATACAAACAATCATAATTGAGAAAAATAGAATTTTTTATAAACTTTCGTTTAATATTTACCCTAAAAGAACAGAATCAAGTAAATCAATATTCGATGCCAAACGATAAATAAGTTTATTAATCCCATATTGCATTCGACAAGCATTTTCATACTCATGATATGGAAATGGACTAGGATATAATGTAAATGGATATGGAATAATTGTGTCGGGCATCGGTGACGATAGCCATCTCTGAACAAAACCTGAAGAAATTACTTTGACAACGTTGCAGCAATACTTTATCAAACATTAAAATGGATACACAAACGAACCGTTACGAATTGCCCATCGTTTGCACTTATCGTTTAATTCAACCAAATTCATTGATTTTACTTTTTTTAGAACATTATCTATATACGAGTCCATATCTTAAAATAAAGTAAACAGGCAAAAAATAGATTTACTGAGAATAAAGTTTTATAAGATAGTTTATTAACATTAGCAAAACGATTGAAATACTGAAAGAATATGGCTTTTAAACAGAAGCTAAACAGAAATTTGATCTTGAATTTAGTAGGAACTAAGCAAAATTTTAGCCCTTACTCACCGATGACGACTGAATGACAGCTATGCAGCAATGTAGAACTGTACCTTCCATCTAACACATAAACCTTTTCCTTCATACAAAATACATTATGAAACTTATGCTATCCTGTTCAATTAAAAAGTTTATTTGCTTCAAAAAAACGAACAAAATGAAAAAGAAAAGCCATTTTAGATGGTTTCCACTTTTTTTTCTTTAAGTGATCTTTCAATTACTATTTTTCACTGTTCAATGTTGTTCACTGTCAAGAGGAAAGATAATGCATTGATAATAAAGAATGAATCCAGCGGATGGTGAAGAATTAGATCAAATAATCTTCATTTAAACTTAAAGTTAAAATTTTTATTTCTTTTATTCCGTTAAATTGAACGAAAACCACGAAAGGCTAAATCAACCAATCAGAAGATGCTGAAGTGTATTTATTTTTTCGAATGATATAACGATCATAAATCGAAACAGGATACATTTGTACGGGCGACTGTGAGCGACACGTCTTTCAGTTTTTAAAACCTTTTGCTTTCAAATGCAGATTTAGTTGAACAATATTTTAGAGAAATTTTATCCCTCTTCCTAATTCAACCAGCCTTAGTAGCTTAGTATTACCATAGTAGTGAGAAATAAAAATAAAGTTTTTCTTTTTATTGTTTTGATTGGCTAAATGTGCCATTTTTCTCACAAGGTTAATTAACAATTAAGTTCGATTGTAGCGATGTTAACTCTTGAGCAAATGAGTGTTCGAATAGTAAAGTGCATAAAAATGTTGTAGCTGTATTTCTAGCCAAATTTCCGATGCTAACAATAGTCGTAAACATGAGAGAGTATAAAGTTTCTACATTTTTGGGAAATTCTTATGAAGAAGAGAACATTGTTGAGTTTTAGAATTTGTCGTAATGTTTTTGATTACTCCAACGAACGATCGATGACAGAGTAAGACCTTCTCTATTCAATTTCAAGTTTTGTATTATGTAGATGTTCTTTAAATCAAACAGCATGAATCGCAATAACCATTGCATATGCATGGTTTCTGTTCTATTGAGATAGTCTGGTACATTTGTATGCTTTGGACTCTATTTGTAAAGTAAAGTTTGAGTTCATGGACTCGCATTTATCGATTTTGAATACTTAAGCATCTTTACACTCTCTGTATATTACAAAGGTGCCTTACATATACTATTTGCAGATAAAATTGAACTTATATACAAATGTTACAAAGATATACAAATTTAACGCAGTTGAGCTTTTAAACCTTGTTAGAAAATAAAGTATAAAGCGATTTCTATATCTGCCGATATTTTTACTAGTGTTAGTATCCTTGTATTAGTAAAGCAGGACTCATCTGTATCTGTTCTAGGTAGAGTTTCCATATTATTGGTTTCACCGTATTGTGAGAACCTTTTTTCATTAACTTTAGATTAATTCTCAAAAAGTAAAAAAGATCAAAAATGTCAGAAGTCGTTCTTGAAGATGATGTTACAACAACGCCAAGTGAAATTAGAGTATTTGGAAAATGGAGTGGCGCTGAAGTACAAATTTCTGATATGTCACTGGTGGTATGTTTTAGTTATATACAATAAAATCAACAGAAAAAATGTAGTTTTTCACTGTAGGATTATATTCTTGGAGCAAAACAACCCAAATATTTCCCACATTCAGCCGGACGTTATCAAGTAAAACGTTTTAGAAAAGCAATGTGTCCGATTGTTGAACGACTTGTTTGTTCACTGATGTTTCATGGTCGCAATAATGGTAAAAAATTGTTAGCAGTTCGAATTGTTCGTCATACATTTGAAATTATTCATTTATTGACTGGTGAAGTAAGTTGCAATATAGTTCCTAATTGCAGCTTCTGCTTAACTCTAATATGTTCCTTTTTATTTGCTTGTTTTAGAATCCATTACAAGTACTTGTCAATGCCATTATCAATAGTGGACCAAGAGAAGATTCAACTCGAATTGGTCGTGCTGGTGCAGTAAGACGACAGGCAGTTGATGTCTCACCATTGAGACGTGTCAATCAAGCACTCTACTTAATATGTACAGGTTAGAGAACAAACAAAAAAGACTTATTTTGTTGTTTTTAATTCTAATTGTTGCATTTGTAGGCGCACGTGATTCAGCATTCAAAAGTGTTAAAACCATAGCAGAATGTTTAGCTGATGAACTTATTAATGCGGCCAAAGTAAGTCACTATTCGCAATGAACCGTTGTTTCACGTGTTAGTCAAACTCGATGAGGGCAAAATTATCAATACAAAGATTCAGTACTGGCTTTTTCTCTGCTTTGAATGGTATAAAAATGACAAAGTCATTCTTGCCTATTATAGTTTAGTCATTTATACATGTTTGTATAGACAAACATTTCGCATCTATACGAATAGAAGGAGCACACATTAGAAGTCATTTCACTCACTTTTGCGGTTATGAATGTCGGTAGTGTGCTAGAATATTATTTCATACGCATGCTCTTTCTATGTTTATTTCTTTTATATAAGATCTAGACAAGCTTGCCTGTGACATTTTAGATATTGAATAATTTTTAAGAGTTCGAGCTTTTTCCTAGCAGAGTATAATGTGTCAAAATGAGCAAAATAGAATGCTTTTCTTTTGAGAAGAATGATATATGCCTGTTATATTAGATGTAGAATATTGAAAAAATCGTTGTACAGAATATAGATACAGAACGGTGAATTTAGTTTTGTAGTTTACTACAAAGCTAAGTTCACATGTTCGAATCTCTATTCGTACAAAAATTGATTGTGTTTTTCGATAGTTTTAGTTTAGAATACTGTAATGGAATATTCTTCCGCTTGTATTCTGACAGAATAAAGCTTATATCAATATTGAAAAAGGCGTGCGCTGCAAATATTGTGATCTGAATTTTTCTCATGCTAAGTCGATTATGTGCGAAATGTTAAATGTTTATTTGAGAACTAACGTCTTCTAGATTTTAAAAATTTTTCAAGTCACTCTATGCTCACTACTTGAACCGTTTAATGTGTCATACAATGTAGTGGTTTAAGACCATGCTACTAACTATTAAAAAAAAAAAACTGAAACTGACTTGAAAAATTCTGCTTTTTCTTTTTTTATGCCTGTTTTTCGCGCGTAACTGACTCGTATTTTGGATTCAGAAACACCATGATTCAGATTTCGTACATAATCGGCATGAAAAACATTCAGATCACAATATTTTGCACCTAGAATAACAGACATATACCATTTTCCTAAAAAAGAAACACATTCTACTTTGCTCATCAACCATTCTCCGTCAGATGAAATACTGCTCCAAAATATTGGTTGAATACTCATAGAACTATAACTAAAATACGTGCTATTACGGGTACCGGTTGTACATACTATTCGCGAAAATTCAGAACTCAGGGAATATAGAGAATACCATATGCTACTTTTTAATCGACAATCTATTTGTTGACATGTTACACTGTTTTACGGCCAACTGATAAAGAACTAACAACGGAAAACTAGTCAAGTGCCATATGAATATGATATGTCACTGTTACTGTTTTCCAAGAGTAATATAGCAACACAACGAAGATCTCGCTCTTAAAATTGGACGTTGAGAATTAATTTGATGCTACAAATCGCTGAATTTGGAATCAATTTCTTTTTCGAATAGCTAATCATTTCTCTTACAAATGCGTTTTTTTAATTTTTATTTAGGGTTCATCGACATCCTTCGCCATAAAACGTAAAGATGAATTAGAACGTGTTGCCAAATCAAATCGTTAAGGGCCAAACGACCTAAAGCAACATATGAATAAATTAGGAAAAGGAAATAAATGTGTTGTTTTGTCTTTCTATCAGTTTCTTTTTCACAATGTTTATTTCGTTGTTGTTAAGTTTTTTGTTTATTAAAATAAGATCAACACTGACATATTCACCGTTGAATAAACAAAAAAAGAAGTTAGGAAAATTATTTTAAAAAATCAAAGCAGAAGATCATAGAATTTTTTATGTATAATAAAATAATGTGGAATCGCATGCGTTTGATTGTATTAGACGCAAAGAAAAGATGAAGTATTTATCTCATCTCTTTACTATATTAATTGCCTCTTTTTCATGTTTTTCAAAGATGCACTGTTTTCTTCTGTGTGCGATGTTAATCGTACCTCTTGAAAATTTGCGTAAAAGTTGAAGGTTAAGTACACATCTGTAGAGATGTCAGTCGATCGTCTGGCTAATATATTTTTTCAGTCGGTAGCATCGGCCGTAGTCCCCAAAAAATTTGTTTGCCTTTGACCAGAGATGGGCTCGAGTCGCATTTTTCTGTGACTCGGACTCGAGGTGAAAGACTCGATAAACTTGATAAACTGACTTGAGTCACTTTCGAGTCAGTCATGTGCAACTTGGGGTTGTTATGACGGTGTTTATTGTATTTGTTATATACCAGAAGAGAGAGAGAGATTTGAGAATATTCTGAGTAGAACATTGCGTCACATGAGAGGATTGAAGATCTGTTCTTGGAAAAATGAATCAGGAGGAACTTTTCCTCTAGAAAATGATTCGAGGTGACTTGAGTCAATTTTTGATGCGACTCGAAAAAGTGGTGACTCGCTCATCTCTGCCTTTGGCGAAAAAAAACGATTTTTCAGGTAAGACAAAAAACTTTTTTTTTGAGGAAAAATGGCGCGTTCTTTTACAAAAATATTTTCAATCGGTTGTGGTGTCTATTTTCGGTGACGGCGTAGGTGGCTTATCAGCCGAGATGTCGTCACATCTGCCGTTGAAACTAGACGCTTGATTTGTTAAAACTGTAGTTTCAGAAGATAGTCGACAATCCGTGATGTTTTCGACGATGATATGTCGTGACTATCAATCTTGAAATGGGTTGAATAATTCAACCCGATATCCAGGATTTTGGTAAGTGAAGTGATAAGTAAAGTTTTTGTATTCCCCGACTTTCTCAGCTTTCCTACTGATCCGTGAGGTTCCACTTTCTTTACTTTCCGTAATGTACGCATATTTAGTGTTATTTTTTTGAGGGTTGAAAAAGTAGGGTCGCTGTGATCGTCCTTTAATTTTATTCGTCGTTTCTCTTTTGTAAATTTACCGACAATTTCATCTATATTCAAATTATTGACTATATTATCTCTGTATGCATGCAATAGAGCTCGGGTACTTAACTGTTCGTCATCGGTTCTGTTTCGTAGTTAGTTCTTAATTAATTTCATTGTTGAGAACGATCTTTCAGTTGTTGCAACAGGCACCGGAAGAATTCCAAATAAATACATCAGTATGTAAATATTAGGAAATCTTTGACTTTCTCTATCGCTTTTAACGTATCGTTGACATTTGATGGTCGTTGATTCTCATTTTTTTCACTCCATATATATTTCCATAGTTCGAATTCACTTTTAAATGTTTCAATATCATCAGTTACCAGATCATCAATATGATATTCAACAAATACTTTTGTTTTCAGCATCAAATGTATGATTAACAATAGTTGATGGTATTAGATATAGAATATGTACATAACAGATGTAGTCATTTCTTCTAATGGTATGTACATTGATTCATTTGGGATAATCTCACAATATATGTTTGAATTTTTATCTTCTTCATCATCGTCAAGTTTTTGTTTTTTGAACCATTTATCAAGCGTATTTTGTTTCTTATTTCCATGCGGTTCAAACTGCATTTTTTTTTCCTTATTCGAAAATATTCTTCACACTTGGAACTACTTCCATAGATAACAGTTTGAGAAACAAAACGTATTTCTATTTTTGTGTTTTTTCATAGACAAAAATATTTCTTGATTCTTTCTTTTTGTCGCCAATGTCAAATATGCATGTTTTTTGAAGTTAGTTTTCATATCGTTAGTAATTGGAAAATGACCGCTTGAAAAACAGGTCGAAATGCCACATAAAGTTCACTAAATTAGCTATTAACTTTATATGGAAATCGTTACCTCTAAGCTCTACACATTTTTATTTTCACCTTCAAGCAGAATAATTTCCAGCATTATATTGAGAAATCGGAATTTCTAAGGGGTGTGGTCATAGTCCACCCCTGATCCAGTGCTGGGTACATTGCTGGCTGAATTTAACACAAATATTATGGCTATGCTGTACGAAACACATAATCGATTAGTGAAGACTACTAAATACTGCTGGATTTTAAATATGTTTATGTTTCATTGTTGTTAGGTATGCGCCAGTTCCAGTTAACTGGAACTGTGAGAACTGAAACTGTGAGAATTGGAACTGTTAAGAACTGGAACTGTTGAGAACTGAGGCTGTTGATTTTTTAAAAACAATTTTCTATCTAATTAAATCGAAAGGCACATCACTAGATGCAGTTTTTCACGCTGACCACGAAATATTCACGCTGACCACAGAAATATTACAATGTGCAGTTTTCCTCTATGATTCGCTCAAAGTATATGAGTTCATCGTTTGTAGAACGACAGAAAACAGGCAAGTTTTTCTATTATATATAATCTCATGGTTTTTTTTGAAATCTGGCAAATTTTGGCACATTATAAAGAAAAAGACTTATTAAGAAGTGCAATTGTTCATGCAGTATCTAGAATAGACGGCAAAAGTATTTCTGTTCATCCACGCCGTCATTCAGTGGATATTGATCGATTTTCTATACGAGAATAGATTAACAATTTTCATATGAATGATTTGATGTAACATTGTATCCATTATTCTCTCTATATCTACATTCTAGACATTAACGTAACTTTTATTTTTATGTATGTATTCTTATTTGTAGGAAAATTTAATAGTATGTAATCAAATCAATTTCCTTTCTCAAAAAATATCTAAACCTAGTTCTATTGATGTTAGTAGAATATTTTCTAATCTGCGATTGGAAATAGCAACAAAACAAAAAGAAGATAAAGCAATAATATATTACTAGGATAGAGAATGTAACGTTCATAACAACATAGGGTACAATATCGAATGTTTAGTTTAACTAGATTAACAATGAAAGATTGTTTTTATTTTTCTCTTGTGATACCTTAGCCTATTAATCAGTTTGTTCACTCATCGATAGCTCCCAATTTGGGTATTATGAATAAAATCAAACACTAGTAATTAATCGGTGCAATAGAGTTGTATGTGTATCACCGTATGCTTTTAATTTGAGGAGAAAAGTTTTTCGTGCTGTGACATTAATTATGTTACTTATGTCTTGCGAGAAAACTATACTAATTTTATCAAAAGATAATGTAGAAAATTTGCGTGCGTTTTGATATTTTAGATGGAAAACACAAGAATATTCTCTAAAGAGAATTGATAATTCAATAGGAACTTTTATTCGAAATTTAGATGTCTGACGTATTGATAATTTCTTCAAATTTATCTAGTCGTCTGTTGAATGTCATGATGATCGTACTCAGTAAAAAATTATCCTGTTATAGCTCAACGATCCCAGAGGATTGATAAAGATAGATCAAAATGATTTAAGAGAGTATATTTGGTGGTAATTCAAATGCGAAGTATGAGAAGCGCGACAAATAGCGATTTTCTTCTTTTTTTCTTCTGTTTCTTATTCCGTTATATAACGTTATGAAGAAAAGAAATTCTTCCTTAGTTCTAATGAGAAAACTAACAAACAGAAAAGAACACAATAGAGTGATATCTATATAGATGACTCTCATTCAATGTGTCGTTCATAACTCAGTCATTTTTGGACCAGATTAAATTAGATTCGTTGGACTTTCCTCTATTCAGATATATAAAAAATCCTGCGAATTCCATACGAGTACACTGTAAAGGAGTTGATAAAAGTCAAATTCTTGTAGACATATATCGATGTATAGAAGGCGCATTTCTTCACATAAGCACTTAATCCTTTTGATCTTCACCTAACCCTTTCCCGCCTGATATTGTCATTTGGAACATCTTTCACGGCGTTTCACAAAGAGCCGGCTAGAAAGGCTTTAGAGTCATCGCGGAAAGAGCGACCTATACTACGAATTTATAACTTCGATCTGAAAAAATCTTAGATAAAGTTAAAAATAAACGGTGAAATTTTTGAGACTTTCATGTTCAATAGTGTTTGTTATATAAGCTAACATAGTCACACCTATGCTGCGACACTTAGACTCTTTATCGGTAACATGCATTTTTTATCACGATCCTGGTTGGATTAACGGAAATGATCAAAAAATCAAAAAATGCGCTTCATAAATCGCCAGGGATAAAATGCAACTTTTTGCATATCAACATACGAAGGAAAAATGTTATATTCATGATGTAGACAAAAAAGTGCATCGAATAACGTGTTTTAAAAGTTTCTGGAAAGCATCTTTTTACGAGAAATTACGAGTGAGATACCCCACAGGTAGAAGTTTTAGATAAACTCTTTGTTCAAAAGTGATAGTACTAGAACACGATACATTTAGAAGAGTGCTGGTGCTCTGAAAAAGGACTTGAACGACTTTTTTCAGATCGAAGTTATAAATTTTAGTAGGAACACATATCAGTGAGCTCAGTTTGAACCAAATATTTCTTCTTCTCACAAAACAGATTAGGCGAACAGTACGAACACCATCGATGTTCTGGACTTGCGCTACTTCTGGTCAAAAATTTTCAGAACCTTGCTTAGACATGTTGCTTGTATCCACGCTAAAAAGTTTGAACCAAAAATTCAAACATTGATTAAATACAATAGGTCGCTCTTTCCGCGCAATGACTCTAAAGCCTTTCTAGCCGGCTCTTTGTGAAACAGTGGAAAATGTTTCCAAATGACAACATCAGGCTGGAAAGGGTTAAGTGAAGATCAAAAACATCAAGTGCTTATGTGAAGTGCTTATCTGAAGAAATGCGCCTTCTATACATCGATATAGTGTAGATGTCTACAAAAATTTGACTTTTATCGAACGCTATTATGTTCTTTTTGTTTCTTCGTTTCTCGTTGAAAAGTAAGCGTGTATTTCTTTTTTTCAGAACGCTATATAACGCAATAAAAAATAGAAGAAAAAAAGAAGAAAATCGCTATTTGTCGCAGCTCTATTATCAATAAATAGTTATTCTGTGTCATTTGCTTATATGAAATACAAAGTTTGGTGAATTTTCTGATTATTGGGTGATTCTTCTATTAAACGAAGAACAAAAGAATCCGTTTTCTCTGTCTCTCTCTAACCGTGATGCTCGTTGTAAAAGAGTTTTCAAACTTATTTTTGACACATGTGCCTTATAATAGAAGTTGGAAAGAACTACTGAACGGTAAACGGGAAATAGAGAAAGTCCTTTCTTCATACAATGTAGATATAAAGAGCCAAAGCTCTTTCTTTCTGTGGCAATATTTCTATAATGAATAGAAATGGCAGAGAAGAAAAAAAGCATCTATACTGCTCAAATTTCTTGTCGATACTCTTGCAAGATTCTTGTTTCATGAAATTTTCGTCAAGCAATTCACAAGTCGATCTTTTACAAGAAATCTCAAGAAAAGAATTTCCTGCAAGAATGTTGTCTAGTAATTCTTATAAGAATCTTGCGAACAAAAGAATGCATATATAATTCACATTTAATTTTCTGTTCGTTAGAAGAAGAGAAGAACCAACATAGATACACTATATTAACTGTCTTAACAAAAATCTTGGGAGATTTAGAAGAATGACGATGATATGATTTAACAACAAACTAATATCTACTTTGTCAACAATCTTACCATTTCAAACTAGAACTCTCGCGAAAATAAAAGAAAAATGAATAAAATATTGAAAATAATAAATCGTTTCTGAATCGATCAAGAAAAACTCAAGAGTTTTGTTTGAAATGACAGTAAACAAGAATCTTGCAAGAATAACGACAAGAAAATCATCAGCATAGTATCGTTGCTTGTTTTTTTTTCCTATATACAACCAGCCTTCTCTACATGTTTAATTATTGTTCGCGATTCTTTTTTTGTTCCATGGAAAAAGAAAGACGAAGCAAAAAAAAAAGTTGATAAATAGCATGAAATATTATATCTGGAGAAATCACACAAACGAGAAGAAAAAAAACTTTGTAAGTATAGAAATATAATGCGGAATAGTTCATGAAAAAAAAAAAAAGAAAACTTTCAATGAAAAAACTTTGTCAGTCACTCTAGTGTACATTTATTGTTTTAAAGACCTCGAATTATTTAATTGATGTTGATTAATTCAGGTAAATAATTGTGAAAGTAAAATTTTATTAGAAGAAAATGGTTTCTGTTTAGAAGTTCTAACTAGAATAAATCATTCTTTTCTTTTCTTTTCTTTTACAAATTGTTGTTTATATAACTTCTATAACTATCTAAAAGTTGAATGATTTCTATTTTACGCAACCTAGTGTGCTTTAAAGTTTCTAAAACAGTTAAGTTGAGAACTTAGTCTCTGTTAAAATTGAAGTTAAATATTCATTTTTGGTTGACAAGGTAAAATATTTTTTAGAATAATACATTCTTAGTACAGTTGTATTTCAGAAGAACGAAATAACTTTAGTGGCAAATTTAAACATAATTATATACAGTGATGTAAGAGACTATAAAGTTAAAATAAGACAGCGTTAAAGAACGATACTATTTTTGATTTAGCAAATTTTATAAAAAGAAAACTTTTTTATGAAGACTTAGATCTTCTTCTTTATTTGATCGAAATAAGTTTTTATATAGACACTGAATCCAGTCATGTACTAATTACACTGCATTTTTTCGAAAATATAGCTTTCTAACGCTGTACATCTGTGATGATTAATATATCTTTTGCAAACTTTTAACACTTTTAACCTTTAAAGAAACTGTACGTTGAGAAAAACGTCTTTGAAACATCAATTTTTTGTGTATGTGATCAATTGTGCGTGCGATTAGACATTAATCAGAGACCTTTCAAACCTCCACAAGTCCTAACCAACAACTAAATTGGATAGAATTATCTTCTTATGTAACATAAAAACTAAACTTTTTCATATTCATTACCTGAAACTTAATCTTAATCTGAGAGATTTATTGAATAACATACTTCCATTAAAAAAAAAATATTCATTGACATTGATACATTCATCATGGTGAGCTACCAGCGTTTCATGAACAGAAGATTTGTTTCAAACAAAAACATATATTTTCCATCTATTCTGTTAAAAAGTGTCCAATTATTCATGTGCGATTTATGTTTTAAATCTGTGTAAGCGTCTTTCTTTGATGAATACACACGAACTTCTATTAAAAACGAAAATAATATTAAGATTTTAATCTGTCTTTAATCATAAAAATTCTCAGCTGTCTGTCGTCAAGTTTTTTCCATTTGTATCATGTCATTGATGCGGGTTACATGAGTGTCGAGTTGCATAGTTGTTGTTTTTTTAGAGTAACTCATTAGCAAAGAAATTTGATAAGTTTTTTTTGTTTCTTTTTATTTTAAAAACTATGTTCATCACGATAGCTAGTCTATAGATAATTAATTTCAACCTCTCTTTCGATCTCATATTAGTTTCTCAAAACTTTTTAGTAACAACAACAACAACAAAAAGTAACATAAAGAATAAGAAAATTTTTTTTTTTTATCCTTTTTTTTTTTTTTGCTTGCGATCTAATGATTTTTTGAACTAACTCGAAATATAAGAAGAAATATTATCAAAAAAATATGATGTGTAGACATCGAAGGAAGTAATAATAACGGTATGTAAGATATACCAACGACAAACATTCTATCGAATTTTCTTTCTCTACCCCTATCATCATAATGAGTATATAGAAACAGAGTTTTGACGTATTGCTAGCAAAAGACTTCTTTTTATTAGATTGTGTAAAATACTTATCTATTTATTATTCATTATTTTTATTTGTCTGTTCTCATTTATCCGAAAAAAAAAAAAGAAGAAGGAGAAGAGCGAACAAGACCATATCTCTCTACTGTATCCGCGTTGATCATTTACAAAGAATAACTTCGAGTCTTTCCATAGACATGTTTGGAATAAAAAACAGCTTTATATAGAGAAGAGATGAGAACGGACGAACAGACGGTTTATAAACAAGAAACAAAAAAAGTTTTTCTTTTCATATTGGAAATATAATGATGACATGCGTAGCGACAAAAGATCTTATTGTAAAAATCTCTTTACATTCTATAATTTCCATAGTGGAATATGATAAGCCTAATTTTACTTATTTCGAAGCTACAAATGCGTAATTATATCGTACAATTTGTTGCTTTGAAAGTTTTTCCTGATATATATTGACATATTTAGCTTCTTGTGTCTATATTGTCACTTTCTGGCACTACAAAATACTACCATCGTAATCAAGTGTTTGACGTCTAACTACTGTAAGCATACGATTTTGAAAATCTATTTTAGTCATTTTTTTTGACGTCTTTGAAATGACTTGTATTCATTTATACTATTGATCTAATTCTCTTCTATTTTTAGAGTAAAACATTACCCTGCAATACGTACAATCAATTTACCAATGTTAACAGGATGGATAGAGATTAGTAAAGCATATTTATAAGTGCGCAAGTATAGAGCCATATTTACACAGGAGTCATAAAAAAGAAAAGAAGAATTTATACAATCACATAAAAATTTTGAAAAAAAAAACGTTTACTTTTGCTATTAATGGACAAAAACGTATATATTTACTTATCGTATTTTAGTCAATTGATTCTTAGAAACAAATATTCATTTGAACTTACTGCGTGAAACTGTTTAGCTTTATTCATGAATAAATGAATGAATGAATTTATTTACATTCGTTCATATTAATTAACTGATTTATTATTTCATTTTCGTAGTCATTCTATTTTATTATCATCTAATTCTTCCATTCTTCTGCTATGATTTTAATTGATCTTATATATTTTTCATTCATCTGTTACGATTTTGGAGAATATCAATTTTCTTATTAGTCTTTCTAATGAGAATTTTAAACAAAGTAAATTTTCAGAAATTACTACTGCATATTCCACATTTTTCTCGCTAAAATCAGAGTGGAAATCTATTTTGATATTATTTGATTCACTGAATAATCAGTAGAAAAGCTGAACAATATGTTACCTCCATTTACATCGTCATCGGTAAATTATGATTGCGTCGGATCGAAAAATGGCAACAGTAACACGTGGTCATGGGCGGCAGGATGCGCAGCAGTAGCTGCAGCCTTTATTCCGACCACTACATCATGTGAAATAACTGAACAATCAAATTCATCTTTGTTGAAAAAGAAAACATTATTATCAACCACAAATAATCTAAATGAAAATCAAAATCAAATGCTCGTCACTTGTGACCAAATTCAAACACAAAGTATGTATAATACAAAGAAATTTGCCATTTTCTCCCCTACTATTTCAATTATTAGTGGAAAAATAAAATACTTATCAAAACAATAGAAATTCTATTTTTAAATTATTCGTGTCTCTATGCTGTACACGTGTTTATATATCGTGCACGTGTCAACAAATGCACATTTATTTGTGTGGTATTTTTGAAGGACACCTCTGTGTCTGTTGAATAGATTATATTTATTGATAGTGTGAAAATTTTGATAGCTAAAGGTTGAACACCCAAGAATACGATTATTATTCAGGTAAATACTGTAATTTTGGACAATTATGTATAGTTAGCAATACCTGGAAAAATAATCCCTAGACAACATTTTCTGAAACGAAAACAGTTTTTATTCTCTTCTTTGAATAAAAAACTATTTTACTCAGAATTTACGTCAGAGAATAGAAAGTTGAATCAAAGGGGATAATCGATATTCGAAAGAAGAAAATAAAATGAACGACTACAAACTATTGATTGATCTTTGAGAAATAGAGATTAAGACGAGAAACAAGATTTTTATAATCAGATGTTCGTCATTCTACTTTTAAAAACATCTTAAAACTTGAGTCTAAGTTGAGAGAAGAGAAACGAGTATACGTGCCAGTAGTGAACCATTTTATATCAATTTTTTAAAGATTTTTGATAGATGACTTTCTTAAATTTGTCGAGAGCCAGTAAGTTAGAAAACATTAATCGTTTGATAAAATCGACATTCATAATTTATTTAATTAAAATTAAAAATTTCTTAACGTTTCGACTGTTCATACAGTTCATTTTCAAAAGAACTAACATATTGTACATGAAAATTATATTAGAAGCAGAGAAAACACCTATATATATATATATATATGTATATAGTACTCCTACCAACTGAACTGAAATAGAAAAAGTTTTTGTTTTCACTCTTTTCGTTTCTACTTAAAGGAAAATAATTTCTAGGCTAATACTGTCCATTACTATTATTCACTCACCTGGATCAAAATCATTTTTTCTGTTCTTTGATAGACTATTTGGAAACACAAAGATACCGATCTAACCGTGTCATTTATATTAGATTTTTAACTAACAAAATAGATAAAGATTCTTTGATTAATAACCAATATTCAATACTATTTCGATCTATTATACGTGTTTTTTCTGATTCTATTTAATTTAATTTTCATGTTAATTCTCTTGAAAATGACTATATTTTAAAAAATGAATTAAAACATCAAAGTAATTTTTAATTTTAATTAAATAAATTATGGATGTTGTTGTTATCAAACAATTTAAGATAATTTCCTGTTTAAAATAATAGTAATCAAATAGCTGTAAGTAATACATAATCCTAAAAGTCATGAAAATATGAATGTTTTGTTCTTTTCATTACCATTTATTTTTAAAAAGTTATTTTATTTCAAGGATTTCATACATATTTTGTAATCCGTACTAATGAATAATCGAAAAGCTTTTTCACCTGACAATGTAGTTGTATATATATTTGTGTATCTATCCATCCAACGTACCAAAACACTTTATCTTTTTCTTCTTTTTTTGTTCTGTCTAGGTACGCTAACCATAATAAAAAAAAAACTTTATTGTATATAAAAGAAAGAAAGAAAAAAAAATAAGAAAAATATCAAATATACAAGTGTACACACATCATACATTTTTTTTTGTTAATAACAAATGAAAAATTTTTTTCACATGTTATATTTTTTCATCATGATTAATTATTATAATATGAGAGGAGGAGAAAGAATGTAGAGAACTGTCTCTTTAGTTTGATATAAGAGAGATGAAATCGGTTTTGATATGTATTATATTCGTTGATTATACTTTCGAATATCGACATTAAAAGAAAAGTAAAATTTTGTATGAAAAGAAAATTCATCGATAAAAAATATTAATCGAATTTGCTGAAACGATGACATTAACATCTTTAAATAACTTGATGTACGACGACAGCACAATCATATCAGGTAAAAGATTATGGATTGTATAATTTGCAACGATCATATAGTGATTTTTTACTTTTATCATCTTTCCTATATCACGTAACAGGCGGTTGTTTTTTTTACATTAAGATATCAGCATATTGTAATAAATAATATTGACTTTTGTAAATAGAGCATAGCGTAACTGATGTTGTTTAGTAGAAGAAATGTCAATCGTAGTTGTTTATATTGACTAATTATTACTCAGAAAATCTATTTAAAAGAAGAATTGAATATTGACTGATCCATATGTCTGTTAAAGTCTACGATCAAAGAGCATTTTCACCACCAATTTGTTCTTTTTATATTTAGCTAAACATGCTCCAGAACAACGTTTATTACGAATAGTACTCTTCGCTGAAAGTTTTCCATCATTTACTAGTGGAATAACACGACGATTTAAAGAAATAATTCGACGCTTAGCTAAAACAGGTCATCATATTCATGTTGTTACAGGTTGTAAGGTGAGTTATTCTTTATAGATAATAAAAAACAGGAACAAAAGGTGTATAAAATGTAAACTTGGTTTTCTATCGCATTTAGAATGCATTATCTTGGACAGATGGAAACGATTTATTACGTGAACACGTGACATTTTCAATTTTGCCCTCGACTGATTTTACAAATAAAATTGATTGTGCTTGTCCATTCTTATTCCCACACGTATGTGTTCTCATTTATTTCACTGTTAGGAAAAAATGTATTAAAATTGATAACCCCCAGTTATCAATTTGTCATGGTATTCGAGCTTAGCGATCAAAGCTATATTAAGGCATAAAAAAATATACGCTTTTCGTTCATGAATCTAAAAAAGTCTTTTATTTTAGCCAAGTATTTGTTCTGCAATTCGTAATTTTCACCCTGATGTTGTGCATATTGTTGAACAAACGCCGGGAGCAATGATGTGTGGCGTATTTGCTAAATCATTAAACCTTCCAATTGTATGGTCGTCTCATACAAATATAGATTTTTATTTATTAACCTATATACGTTCATATGCTGTTAGATTTGCGAGAAAAATCTACCAATATATTCGTTTGAAACATTTATTATATTCATCGATTAATTTGACAGTGAGTCAAGATTTTGCCGATTTTATGGAACAAACTGGTGTACCATCACCTGTTCAGGTATGGAAAACGGGCGTTGACTCTGATCTATTCCATCCAAAACGTAAATCATTAACAATGCGTCGACGTATGTTTGGTACAAAACATAATTATACTATTGATGAAATGAATAATATCACATTATTTTTATGTGTTGGACGAATTTCACCGGAAAAAAATTTTGAGTTTTTATCATTAGTATTAGATCGTATTCCATCACGAACATTCCTGTGTATTATTGGTGATGGTCCCTTTCGACAAACGTTAGAACCATTATTTCCTACAGATCGTGTCTATTTTTTTGGCTACTTAGGTGGTGAAGAATTGGCTTCAGCATACGCGAGTGCAGACTATTTTATTTATGCAAGTATATCAGAAACGTTTGGACAAGTATATTTAGAAGCCATGGCGAGTGGAACACCAGTGATAGCAGCTGAAGGTGGCCAAATGAAAGAATTTTTTGAAAATGGTAAACATGGCTATGTATGGAAACCAGGAGATCTAGATGATGCTGAAGTAGCTATTAGACGTTCAATGAAAGAACGAGATCGTTTATCAGTTAATGCTAGAAAACAAGCATTAAAACATTCATGGGATAGCGCTGCTGATCAATTGGATAATGTTTATCATGCAGCTTTAATTAAACACAACAATGATCATTATGTTGAACCGTCCACTTTTCTTCTTATATTTAGAATATTCTTTTATACAATTGTTTGGTTTATTTGTATTGGTCTAGCAATCATTTTCATGCTTCCATTTGTTAAAGTTTGTAGTCCAATAATTGAAAAATCAACAACGGCATCGTTAAAAATTAAACAAAAAAATGATAATAATAATAATGAAATACTACTATCAAATAAGAATGGTTTTCAAAAACAAACTACAAAAACATAATGATACAAAACTTTAAAACTTTTTCACAGTTGTTATTTCTGCTCAGGATAAAGATCTTCGTAATTTTTTATCTGATAATATTTTGTTGTTTGTTGTTTCTTTTTTTTGTTTCTTATTTTCATGAATATGTGTATTCTGAAATTGAGTTTCCATTTCCTTTTTCTGTGAAGTCAATTCAGTTTGAATTCTGAGAAGTCTGCTCATCTGAATTTTTGTGTGTACCATTTGCACTTATCCTGCTGTGTGGGTAAATTATAGTCACACCTAAACTCTTTCGTTACTCTGTCCTCTTCGAACATCATAAAAACTTTTATATCAGAACAGTAAGAAGTTTCTCTTCTTCATATATTCAGTGTATGAATATTTTTGTATTACTCCGGCACTTGTTAACACATGTACGACACATCTTTTGTCCTTTATCTCGTTTTAATATCAGTTCCTTTGGTTTCTACTGTGATATGTTATTTATCACACATCTTCTCTTTCTCACACAACTTTCTGCTCCATCCCTTTGACCTTATTTCATGTTCTGCTAATTGAGTGCGTAATGTCTCTCATTCATGATAATGTTACACCATATTTTTACGTTCTTCTATTCAAGCCTATTTTATATTTAATAATATATTATCCACACTATGTCACTATTAATCTCTCATTTTTATCTCTTCAGCTGACACACAGCAGTGCGACGTTGTTGTTTTTGTTTTGAAACAGTAAGTTCATTTAAAATGTAATTTATTTTCATTGATTTATTTGTTTGTTTAGGTTAGACGTGTGCGCTTGATAAAATTGTTGTTTTTATGCTCTCGTTGATTTTGTACAGATGAACAAAAGGACAGTTTTTTTTTCTACTCATTATCATAGGTTTTTTTGTTTTTTTGTGAAAATATTGAAATTACCGCGTAAAGAAGGACGCTCAGTACACCTTTTTACAGTCCAAAACATTGCGTTTTGTTTTTTGGTCACATATATCTATCTATATTCTTTTATATGTACACAAAAATTATATATGTTTTCAAAAAGAAAATGAACTCATAGAAGTTTATTATACAGAATGCAGCAATCAGACATGGTTCTATTTTGCTCAAACGATTCATCCATCTGTCTTTGAAATCTATTTTTATTCTGGGCTTTATCATCTTGTATTGGTACAATCGATAGATAACAAATAACACGTCGTTTGTCTGCTGTTACTCGATTACTACCCTATAAAAACAATTTCAGTGCAGCACTGCCAATGCTCATGGGATGCCGTCGGTCACTGGCTGGCACCGGTGCGCATCCGTGTCCAGAAAGTGCCGATTGGCACCCATGCGCACCAGTGCCGATATATTTCTGTCAAAAAAGTGCCGCACGGAAACTTATTTAATCAATTTAATTAGTTTTGTTATTATGATTGTTTGTACTGAATTTTGTATTAGAGTGCGGCACTGATCAGTATTCCATGGTTTTGGGATTTTGTCCGAAAACTCACTTGAATACATTTGCGTAAAATTCTTGTGGAGTTTTGCATTGATCATGTTGAAATGCTGTTTAAAATTTTCGAAGTATGATCTTTTAAAAGAGGTGAGAAACCCATCCTACGTTCACTTTGAAAAAAAGATGATCTCTCGAAACGATTATTGCCCATACAATATCTGGACAATTTATATTTTTGAATTCTCTCACACTTGAAAATTATCTTTTCTCTATGTAATTTTCTCTATGGTTTTCTATGATAAAGTTGACATATCAATATTTAATTTATCTTACACGCCCAATCTTTATGTGTGTTTGATTTATAGATATGCGAAATTAAATGATAACATTGTCAAAACAGCAAAAAGTCGAAAAGTATTGATGACGATATTAGATTCTATAAAGATAGAACTAATATTTGGCCTCCGATCTGTCCTGTTATTCCTTCTTTTTCAGATCATCCTCTTTTCCCCCTATTGCTCTTTTTTTCTACACATGTCGGATAAGGCTTGACAAAAATCACTAAAAGCTTGTAGGAAGGAAAAAAACTATTAGTAGAACCTGTCGAGAAGCTCGCTGGTGAAAAATACACTCATTCTGCATCGTAATTACTGATTCTCGCCTCTTGATATAAGCTTTATTATGTCAGAATACAAGTGGAAAAATATTCCATGATAGTATTCTACTATAATGTAACTACTATCGAAAACCACAAAATCAATTTTGTACGAATGGAGATTCAAACATATGAATTTACCTTGGTAGTAAACTGCAAAACTAAATCCACTGTTCTGTGTTTATATTCTGTACAACAACTGACGTTGTGCAATCGGCTCGATGTTATCCAAAGTAATTTCTTTTGATATGTTTTTTTGTGTTCGGTTTTTGATGCAGTGTGAAATGAACGATGAACGTTTTGATAAAAATAACTTCGTTTTGTTGTCTTCTCACAACTCTTGTTAAGATTTTTTAAATAATAAAAACAGTGAACTTTAGATAACGGTTTGTTTTCATAAGGTTTAAAACAACATGTGTCATTTTTTCCCGTTGTTTTTGTTCAGTTGTGTAAACACTTGTTATTCTAGCTAAGTAGATGAGATGATGAGGCTCGTGTGTAGTCTATTGAATGAAAATCATCTCAGAATATATTCCTGGTATGATAGAATGAGACATAAACGCCCCACGCTTTCTACGTCTTTTTTGACTCTCAAAGAAGCTAAAAAAAGAATTGCTATATCGAATTTCTCAGAATCCTCCTTATTCCTCATTTTCATCTAGACTCCTTTTTTTCAAAAAGTTACAATCGGAGGGCAGACGAATATGAATCGATGAAGATTGTTTAAACGCAATAAGTATAATTGTTTAGTACAAGCAAATGAATTTCTGATAAGCCGAAATAGTCAAAGTAATAAGGAAAAAAGATGTTGGTTATAATGTTGGTTGATACTACACTTTGACAATGAAAACGAGGTGACTTGAAAATTCCATCGAATTACTTTTTGATGAAAATAATTTCAACAACTATTCAAGGTCAATGTATAGTACAAGCTCAATATTATTGTCAAAAAAAGAAATCGTAAAACATCCCTTTCTGTTTATTTCATCAACATTTAATCCTGATCTGAATTTTTCTCCTTTACGTCATTCTGCTTGAGAATAGCCTAAAGTCAGTCATTTTACCTAAAGTTAGCTTTCATCAGATTTTGGATTTTGAATATTGAATGAAAATGAATATTGTTATACGAAACTCAGCGTGATCAATAATAAATGTTCTAGTTGTATTTAGAATTTTCACATGTCATCTTACACTAGTCCCACGCCTTTCAGAAAAATCTGCTGATGGGAAATCGTGTTCTGGAAAAAGATTTTATAGATCAGCTGTCTATGAGAAAAGTACAGTGTCATTTTACTAAGACGGTATAGTGAGTTAATTGTATTTTCTCTTTTGTGTTCTGGATTATTGTAACAAAATTCATGACAACTTTATACCTGTTCAGGAGTAGAAATTTTAGAATTGATAAAATAGTAACAGCAGCTGCTTTTAGATTCATATTTATTTAATAAAAATTTAAAATTTTTTTTATAAAAATAAAATCGACATTTCGAAAGTTGTAACTTTCATTTTCAAGACAATAAAGACGTTTAACGCGACGTAAAGTTAAAACGAATATACCTTAAACGTTAAACGTCGCTATTGTCTTGAAAATGAAAATTACAACTTTCGAAACGTCGGCTTTATTTTTATAAAAAAAATTTTAAATTTTTATTAAATAAATATGAATCTAAAAGCAACTGCTGTTACTATTTTATCAACTCATGATAACTGCTGATGTTACCAAATGTATAAGTCATGATAAGACTTTCAATTTAACGAAGTAATTCACAACAATATGTAAATCGCGAAAATAGATTTACTGGAATTTATCCTTATATGAGAAACAGTATATAGATCTATATATATCTGCAGAATAAAAAGTAGATTTTTTCCCTAAGAGTATGATGGTATTAATTCAGCTATAAGAGTTAGCTATATATGCAGGATTTTTAATAGTAATACGTGTTTCTATTAAACATGAAAGAAAGAAGAAGAACAAAAAATATCGCGTCTATTACCTACTTTTATGCTGAACACAGTTTCATTCCAATAGTCTGATATCTTCTCTACAGCTGACAAATTTCGAATAATATTATCCTTGCTGTTACTAACCATGAACTGCACCTCCCCCTGAAGACTTAGACTGGATTGTACTACACAAAGTAGCAAGTATCGGAAGGATGATCCGAGATGCTTAGACATAAATAACGTGCCCAATATCAGAATACAGTATCTTCTAAGAACGAGCCGGACGACATAAACACGCTGGTTTTGTTTGCATTTTTTTAAACTATTTATAGTGTGATAGATTCTTTGGGAAGAGGAGTGGATTCTTTGAAAAAAAACGGTATGTTCAGAGGTAGCAAACTAAGACGTTCTTCGTAAATCGTCAGCTAATTTAGAGGTATCTTACCTTGTGATTAGAGCTCTGCAGGTTACGACTTTTTGACAACCTATAACCTAACCAATAAAAAGCTTCACAATCTAAATCTAAATCTATCCTGCGAAACTCGTAATCTAAACCTAACAGAGTCTATAGGTTAGGTTTAGTCTGCAGGGCTCTACTTGTGATAGCATCTAGCGATATCCTAATCTAACAAATCTTTCTTAATATTTTGTTATTATTAATGTAGATGATTTGATTCTTGTATGAATACATCATGCGCAAACTGATATTTGTTCTATGACTTTCGTAAATAAATATTTGTATATGATGAGTAAATAGCAAAGGGAGAAAAGCGTCTCCCGGAGACACCCTGGAGCCAAACGAGCTATAGGAGGCTCTATGGAGCGAGTGTATGAGTCAAAAGACTTTATGCTTTAAATATGATGATTTATCATGTGCGTAGTTGGTTTTTACATTTTCATTACGTATAGAAGTAAAGAAACTACATATTAAGATTCATACTCCACTGAAATTACAATGGTTAATGTGCTGAAGTTTATA